GTAATAGCTGATGGGCACGGTTAATTTTGGTTATCTGTAGTACGAAGATGCCATTCACTTGCTACTGCGCCACCAAATTCTTCCCACTTTCATACTTTTCTTTTTTTTTTTTCACACTTGATTATATACTGAGTGTTCTGACTGATATTCATATCAATAATTAGAGTTTTTTCATTTTTTACTTGGTAATTGTTTAAACCAAAAAAAAGCACAAGTTACATTTAGGTGGGCAAAGAGCAAGGAAACAAAGCATAGTCAAAAAAATCAATTGTTACAGCTCATTATCATCATTGTTTTCATCTTTGTAGCCATCAACACCAACGCTGTCGTCACTACCGTCATCAGCAGCATCCCCACCGCTGACGTTGATATTATTGCACTCTTAATGCTAAATCAATGTATAAGTCTACAAAGATGTCTGCGTTCAGCATATTCTGTATTGTCGTTGCATCATTCATTTTTTCATTCAAGTCAACCTATTTTCAAATAAAAAATAAAATAAATGAATAAAACTAAAAAAAAAACGTAACCGGTATCCAAGGATTTTCAAGTGCCGACAGCAGACAGTTGCGGCATGAAAATTGCTCAGAATTATTCTTGTTTGTTCACATTTCCGATATGCACAAATTTCTTTTAACGACATCAAAGACAAGTGGTGGTAATGGCAGTGGTATTAGTAAACTTTTCGACTAGCTAACCATCGTCATTGCCATCCTGTCCGTCAAGGAACAGACACTAACATAGCGTGCGGTACATAACAAATACAGGTTCATGTACTATTTGTACATGCCGTACGTATGTATGCAACGCGTTCGGCTGAACACACGATGTGTATTGGTGTATTCCCAATCGCTATTAACCTCACAGAGTAAGAAATTTTATTTCACATTCGTCCCAGTTGGTACTATAATTTTTCCAGTTTCCTCCGCTATCATTGCTTCATGCTATTTTCCGCTACATTTTCCACCGCCTTTTAGAAAGCTGTTAGTCATTTGCTGTTGACAAAAACGGTTTTTTTCTCAAGATAATACTTTCAAATGAATCAAAAATTATCAGCTCAGTACTTCCAAACTAATCTGGTGCACATGGGACTTTTGTTGTTGAGTAAGAGACGGTTGTAATTTTGGTATTTCATTTTTGATTTTCTCGAGTCTTTTACCGATCGATTATTTTCTCATGGACAAGTATATTTTAAAAAATAAGAGAAAAGAACCAATTTTTTTGAAGTTTCACCGAAGTTACGCTCGTCTCGCACCTACAAACCATAAAAGGTCCATAAACAATACTTCTATTTTCAATTGCTTCTATGCAATAAAATTCGTTTCTGGAGTTGATAATTATAAGTGTATTTTCGTGGGCTTTCGTCATTGTCTTGCTACCGTCGTTGAGAATATAAATACCGCATACTTCTGTATTTATTAAGCGCACAAGATCTCTTTTTTTTTTGGTCAGTTGCATCTTAGGTTTTTTCGTTTGGAATTTTAAAATTTTTGTTATCACATATTTTTCAGGTGGTTTTTATTTGTAAAATAACAAAAAAATAAATCTTTTGTCCAATCGACTAAGACTTGTTGCGTGTGCGCTAATCAAAAGGTTCAACAGCACCTCTTACAGGAAAAAAACAGATAACCGTACTGCTTTGTTCACAGCTCAATTGAACAAAGCGGAGCTGTTGCTGGTGTGTTACAGATGCTGTCGTTCATTGAATTGGCATCATGTCGTCGTTGTTGCATCCGGCCGTTTATTGTTGTTTTTGTTGCTATTATTTCAAGGTGACTAACTACTCGCTTAGACCCTTAGAAATCGATCTTTTTGATACCATTGTTGTTTTCATCTTCAACTTTTTGTTGTTCAGAATTGTTTAAAAAAGTGTAAACGGACAATGAGAGAGAGAGTGAAAGAGAGAGGGGGAATGAGAGCGAGATAAGCCGAAAGGTGACAAGTGAAAATGAAGAAGGGCGGAGAAACGAATGAACTTATTATAATAGTATGATAAATAGAGTTATGGGTAACCATGGATATAAACTGTTTTACAAGGGAAATAAACAACTGGTAAGGTAAAGGGTAAATTTAAAATTTATTAGTGCTTAAACTTTCATCCTTTCGTTGACATATTCGTTAATTTCTAATTGCTTGTGTGATGTACCTTCACGTATACACGTACAGAGATATGAGCAGAAATCCTGTTCATATATATTTACCTTCTACGTAATACGCATTTATATTCACTGTCAGCAAATGAATGACGAACATCTGTATATCTGAACACGTATTTATGTATTAGAAGTATTTTCGTATTTAGCTACTTTTTTCACCCAGTTTGATGATTCATGCAACTATTTAGTGACGTGTCGTTTTTTTTTTTGCGACACATTTAGTACTTTATATAAGCAGTGGTTAGAAAGCTGTTGTTATGAGTTGCTGTTTCTCATTGTTGTTCGGAAATTATTGTGAAGTAACAGTTTCGTTAGTAACCTTTAATTTTCAATTATAATTGAAAAAATTTTCGTTTTTTTCTTTTTTTTTTT